GGAAGTTCCTTTGATCATTAGTTAAGTGCTGATGAATACTCCACAGAGATTGATAAGCCTGTGTGACACTGGGTAAATGTTCTGAGGAGATCATGGATCCATGTACTGTATTGCCCCAGAGCATAGATATGGGAATTTAATCAAATTGAACTTGATTTAATCTACCTTCTCTGCGATTTTGTCCAACAAAAGTCTGAATCCAGATATGGTTCCTGAGAGTATTAGTATCCCTGTTTTCCCTCTCACCTTTCCCACTTGTCATGCTCCAGGTATTTCTTTTTGTTCTTTGTAAATAGTCTGGGGCAGAGAGTTCATCTGTGTCCATGAACATACATACACAAGCTATTACATGTACCCAGGCTGCTGGATGCTTCCAGTATGTTGGGAGGTGTTAGCAACTAGATAATCCCTAAAGGGTTTCACCACCCAGCAAGGCAAGGCACAGTCCTATTCTTGACAGACTTGCTTCTCAGAGGACTGGTTCTAAATCAAAGACAATAAGAATTCCTCATTCCATTATCTTTTTGTCAGAGAAACTCTTCCAAAAGCTTGCAGTCTCCCCTGCAAACCAATGCATAAAGCTGTAGCAAGAACCACCAGTATTTGGAGGAAGGGCTTGCAGATCATTTCTGCAAGTTCAAGCTGTAAGAATCCTGCACTGAAAACAAAGTCAGCTTAGTGTTCAAAGGAGAAATGGAAAAAGTTGTCACAGTTACATTCAGACCTATATGCTTGCCTCTTGTTACTGAACACCCCTAGGCATAGTCTAGCTACTGTCACTAGCAAATGCTGAAAATCTGTGAAGTTCAGGAAACTGTTTGAAAGCTTGTCATTTGACAGCAGATGGCTGTAGTGCTTCAGCCACGGGATGATCTGCCTTGTAATAGTGTTCTTCATCTAGGTTTCCATGCTATCCAAGTAGTGAAGTTTCTTAAGAACATGAAGATTTTGTCGGAAACCTGGTCAGTCAGAATTTGTAATCCCATTGGCTGAACCATAATACATGTTTTTGCTCCTGGTATGACAAAGATCCAGTCCAGTTTGTGTCCATACGAGTGGCACTGGTGAGACTGCGTGGGAGACTGGGGCTGCCTTGTATGTGAAACCACTGCTTGTGAAGGCACTAGTTCGTGTTTTAACTAGGACCTACACAAAGAATGTCACAGTGCAAGGAAGCTGAAAAGATGGTACACACCTGCACTGATCCTGCCCTATATTAAGTAGTGCTTTGCTTTACTGTGGTTCCAGCTCTTTGTCTTTAGTGGCAACATAGAGCTGAGTGAGTCAGAAGTAAGTTCAGGAATCTCCCAAGTCTTTAAAGACTGTGAGTGTCTCTTTTGTACTTCTATCCTTCAGCCAGAGTCAGTTTGTCAGAAAGTTCAGCGGCTGTCAAGGAAGGTAGGTGTTCTTGCTTTTCATTTGGTTCCATGTTTGTACATAACAGAAGAGGGTACTTCCGAAAGATAACAGATCAAAGATGACACAGGACTTACACTATGCATATTATGATACAACAAACCTGTGTAACTTGCTACTGAAGGAGATAGGGGAAACAGTGGTGTCCAAGAAACCTTTGAAAAGTACTGAAATACAAAGAGAAGAGATAGGTAAGAGGTGAGCAGCACGATTTATGACACCTGGCTTTACAGAGCTTTGAATTGTGTTGTTTCTTTCTGATTCTGCAGCTACCATATATACATTTCCCCTTAACTTCCCTCCTCCCTCAAGCACTTGAATACTGTAGTTTGCTATGAACTGCATAAGAGACTACATGTACTGTGAGCGAATGTGCAAGAGCCCAAAGCTACACAAACACTGATTGCCCAGCTAGCTGCTGCCTCTTGGCTGCCAGGCAAGCCAAACAGCCTGTGCTTCCTTGCAGCTGCTGGCAGACCAAATAGCTTCAGGAGCTGCAGTCAACCCTTGGGCCACGTCCTGTGGAGAGCTGTTGTAGGAACTTGTGGTGTTAAAGCCCTTCAGCCCTTTGTCAGATGTGACTAAAATTGGCCAAGAGTCAGAAGTTAGTGGGAGGGGGAGGACTGGCAGCTGACAGCAATCACAGAAGCCCTTCCCCAGGCTAACCATGACATGAGTAAGCATGAGTCACAGCATAAATTGATGAGCCTAAAATTATCTACAAGGATGAAAACCATCTAACTGGCCCTACACATTACAGGCTTTCTGTTTACTCTGGAATTGGCAGATTTTGGCTTTGGGTGCAGATAGGCTGACTGCTTGACTCCAGGCCAGTAGTAGCCTGACAGCTCCAACTGCATTTTTTTTTTTTAAATTTGGGCCCACTGCTTTTGTTTTGAGATGGAGATTCAGCAGGAACTTTCTTCCCTACATTGTAGCCTCTAGGCATTACTGATTTGGTGCTGAAGCTGGTATTTTCTTCTCCTGGCAGCTCCTTGCTGTCCAGCATTGAATCCAAGCTGATGCTCCAGCCCCCTCCCCTTCGGCATTGTTCCCAAACTGTCATGTCAGATGCAAAACAAATACTCAGTGGCTTAGAGCTCCTTGCATCCACAAGAAATTGCATTTTCACACTGGCTCTGAACCTCCTCTGCAGGGCCAAAGCAAGATTAAAGTAGAAACTAATCCCTTTGCCCCTACCATGCACATCCTCTTCAAGTGAGGAGCCAAAAAAGACTGAAGAGAATTCTGTAAATTTCTCCGAGATGTTAAATACTCTGCTTTTCTTTTCTTCTCCTTTCCCAGTCACCACACCAGGGAAACCAGTCTTCCCTGGGGCAGGAAAGCGCCTTCTTCCTCTTCCCACTATTAATGCTACAAGTTTATTTTAAGAAGAGATTTCATACCTATGCATGACTGCTATAGCTAGTCTTGGCTCTCTATAGCTATTAGCTAGACCAAGTAGGTGGCAGAGCTTGTTAGAGTAACTGCTGCCCACTCGGAAGCAGCCAAGAATAGCTGTAGTCTCTCCTAGGGATCAAGTATACAAGTCTGGAGCACCAGGGGTCTCTTCCTGTGACGCATAATATGATATTACCATCATAGCCATGGGAATATGCTACTGTGTGAACCCAGAGAGAGACATCTGGAAACAAGGGGAGTCTATAATGCCAAACTGACAAAAGAAAAAAGGACATCAAAGTTTCTGGTCTCCCCGACTTCCCTCTATAGGCATCACAAACTCTAGTGCAGCTTTGTGCACTGTTAACCGGTCAGACAGAACTCAGTGCAGTCCTGCTCTGAGCTTAGGGACTGCTTGCTCCAGGAATGGTGCCTCTTCCTCCTTTCCCATGACTGATGAGCATGTTCTCACACAGGCTCCTGGACTGTCCAGCTAGAGAAGGGAGGCACTGTGGTGGTGCTGCGAAGCCTGCTGTGGCTGGGACTGACCTTCTACCACGTCCCAATGACCAAGCAATATGGCTACATCTACTTTGGCTCTGGTGAGAAGAACTTAGATCTGCCCTTCATGATGTGACTCTCCTGTCTGGGACGAAGACTCGAGAACATTTTGAATTTATACTTAGATTTCTGTTTACTGCTTGTTCTAATAAATGTGTGAAACCTCTGCACTTTGAGTAGGCTTCTTCTGTGCTTGGACTCTGGCCTAGATTCTTTTCCTAGGACTTCACTGTGTGCAGTCCTCCCTCAACTCCATAATGAATTCCCTGTAATGTGTCACTGCAGATCCTTTAGTAACAAATGGCATTTTCTTCCATGATGGGCAAAGCCCTAGGTCAGAAATCAAACCTTGGCCATCTGTCTGATTACAAAGGCACCATGCTTACACAAAAACTAATTTGGAGACAACACAAATGAATGCCTGCTGTCACCCATGAATGACAAACAAAAACAGAGTTGGACTCGGAGTAGAAAGCTGATGCATACTGTAAGGGATCTGTACTAAACCCTGAACTCTAGAAAGGCATATTGAAGAAAGGAGAATATTTTGTTTTTCAGATGTCAAAATTAGAGGGGTCTTTCCAGTTCATGGCACTAAACTATGGAAAAAAATTAACTGCGGGCATCACCTGGTCTTTCGCAAAATGTGTTAGTCAAGGTTCATCTTAAGGCAATGGTTTAATCCAGTGACTTCTCTATTAGTAAAGCTCACTGAACGGAGCTACCTGCACTAGAAGACATAGTAACTCCTGTATGTAGGAAAAGAAAGAAAAATATTTTCCTTTCTGAAGGGCTGTTCGTTTCAAAGCTTCATAAAATAGAGATGGTCAGCCAGAGATTTTATCTCAGTATAGTTAATGAAGTCTTGGTTATGTCTCCCAAAGCAAAAAGATCTTGGCTAGCTCAAGGGGCTGAATGCACGGCTTCAATTTCATAAAGTAAGGTTAAAAAGAACCATTATAATCTGATTTGATTTCCTGGGTAATACAGGTTTATCCTTATCCTTTGTTCCTATCCACGCCGATACTATTAGCAGATGATTCTGATGAAAGCAGTACAAGGTTAAGTGGCATAGTAGACCATAATAAAAGCTCTATTTAGCTCCCAGAGAAATATCAAAGAAATGGAGCCAAAGCAATACTGACCCTAATAAATTTAATGAGCCTTTTATACCAGCCCTGTAAGTAGCACTTCTCAAGTAGTAGTGGTCAGTAGGTGGAAGGTGTGACATGTACTGTACAGGGAGAGAAATGGTGCCACCTTTTAGTTACAGGACAGAAAATTACGCACATCAGTCCCAATCTATCCCTCAAAGCAGCCATATCACTGACACAGAAGACTGATGGCAAATCCATTTGCAAGGGGAAAAAAACAGGCCAAGTCATCAAGGATGTCAACATTCTGTATTTGCTAGATCCAGGAGTGAAGCACAAGCCAGGAATCCTTCAGGGGACACTTAAGACACACACATGCCCATCTGCCACTGCCACAGGTGTTCTGCTGCAAATTACTGATTATGAAAAAATTCGTTACCAATTTCTGTTACTGCCAAGGAAACATAGTGCTGCAGGAGACTTTTTCTTCATCAGTGTCACAGGTACAAAAGCCCAAATGAGGCAAATCTGAGTTGAAACACACGTTAACAGGGAATCACCATTCATTGCTGGAAAAAGAAGGAAACATCATTTTCCAAACGCAGTCGTGGACCATAATGAAACAAAAGCCTTCAGATCCTTTCTGGCTTTGAGGTACAAGTCTTTGCCCCCAGCTTTCTCGAAATTATTCTGCACATTGAACTTTGCTTTGCTGAATCTTGTATTCTCCTGAGGAGCAGATCACAGCTCATGCGCTGGAGTCAATATAGCTTACAAATGACAGTTTTGGAGTAAGAAAATTGGAGATACTGACAAACTTGCAAATAAAGCAGAACCATGGAAAACAGCTGTGCTTACTGACTGTGCCAGTTCTGGCCACTAGTGGTTTAAATAGAGAGGCTTGTGGGTATATTTGACATTATCCTTCAGCAAAGGGTGTCCGACCGGCATGGGTATTTTGCACCACTTAGGGCCCCTCTTCCAGATGGGCTTTGCAGATCTGACAGACCAGCGGGTCAGATACCTGTCAAAACAACAGAAATACATTTAAGTTTGAGAACGATCACTGAGAAGAGGTTCTGACTGAGGCAGAAGCAGGCACTGTAGCCTTTGCCTCCCCACACGACACTTTATAAAACGAATAACTGTGAGCAGAGCTCCTTCAATCCAGAAGGGATCACTGGACAGGGAATTTTTGTTTGTTTTGGAACTTCTAAGATGCACCTCTGTACTGAACCCACCTCCTTGACTTCCAGTCTCACAAATAAATCAGGTGTAGCCTCTAGGCCGCTGGCAAGTTGTCCACCTGCAGCTAAACTGGAGTGCCAAATCTTTTCATTGCAACTAAGTCCAAAACCGAATGCATCTGGACTCTTTGGGAGGTGTTATTTCAACAGCTGGCCTCAATAAGGTAAACTAATTACAAAGGCTAAACTCTGTGAGAAATGAAGTCTCTAAAAAGGGATTTGTTTACTGTTGGCAGATAATTGGTTATTTCTTCTGCATGGGATGGGTTTCTGGCCTAGTCTTTTATTTTCATATGTCCGCATTTGCTTTAGCGTTCTCTGTACAATACTACTGCAGCTTGCTGGTGCAGGAAGTCAGAACCTACAATATAAGAGGTACTAGAATGGAATTATCATCACAACTACAAATCTCTGTGAAGAGCAATGTCTGGCAAATATCCTCTGCTTTTACCATTTGAAGTTTTAGACTTGGCTTTGCAAACAGGCAGGGGATTTCAGATCCAGAATCAGTTACTGGAAGTCTTACCCTGTGGCTGGGTGGCCTGGAGTTTTGTTAGGCTTTAAATCTTTTGCTACCAGTAGAGAGGGGAATAGAGGTCCTCAGAGAAAGAGGAGTCTTTTCAGACAATAAAGATCCAAAGTAAAACCCTAGTGTAATCTGCACAAACAATGTTCCAACAAATTAGAATTTGGAACAGACTGATAAACTTTGTCCAGCGATGTTTGCATGTCTCTGTTGAGTAATCCCATGGTCTTAATGTAACCTCAATCAGTCATCCTCTCCTCAAACAGCTTTGTTACCTTTTATTTGCATCGTGCAAATTTGAGATATTAAGAACTTTGGACAGAGACCATGTAATGCATTTGTCTGAAGGCATTTGGCACATTCCTGAGAACTACAAAGCAAGCTCGCTATGCCAGGCAGCTACAGACTATATAACAGCAGCTCATTTTCCTCGCACTTTTCTTCCTCAGCAATCCCGAAGAGCATAAATTGAAAAATGAATCACATTTGGAGGTTCCTGCCACTGAAATGAAGCCACTTCCAAAATGCTTTGCTTTTGCTTTGAGGAGTTTATGGTAGTTAAAACACCTAGAAGCAACAGCAGGAGGGATCTGGGAGACAACATAGAGCAAGATCAGCCACTTGTTCTATGCATGCACTAAATTGACCTTTTGACCTTTAATGTTATGCTAGTGGAATCCCCTATATAACAACATCAGGATAGGAAGTAGGAAAGACTCTCCTGTCTCTTAATTTCACATGAAAAGGGAGTTCAGAGAGACCAAATGCAGGTCCCCAGTTTGGAATCTGGCAAAGAACCATGGAAAGGCAGCTCCTTTGGGAGAAGCTGTAGGGGTACTGGATGGGCACATGGGGGTAGGTCCTTTTCATATTTCCCTTGCTGCAGGGGGAGGTCTGTAGTGCAAGTTTTGGTATCAGGAGACTGCACTTACAGCAAAGGAGGAAAAAAAATTCTGAATTTTTTTAATGAATCAGTGGGCCAAGTGTAGTTCTGGTCACGTGTCCACACGCTTACGGGAAAGTGCTCCCGTGATAATAAATGATCTCACTGGGAGAGAAGTGAATGTGTGAATGTGAGATACACATCAATGCTGTGTGCAGGTTTAGACAGACAGTGGCTTTTTAAGAAATCCCTCTGTTTCTGTGTGGGGGCTGGAAGTGCACACCCCAGTTCTGCATAGGAAGGAGGATTTAGTAATGGCCTGATTTTAAAGCTTTTGTTATTTCTCTTTTGAGCAGGTCTAATCCAGCCCTCTGGTCCAGGCTTTTGGCTTCCTTTGGGGACTGCAGGCTGGGGCTTTTCATTGTTAGCTGAAACACACATTTGGACGCTTTCCCTTCCTGGAGCACATTTGCTTTTAGTGCTTTTAATACTTGCTTTGTCCCAAACTCAAACTTGTCCTATTTTGTTTGCTGCCTCATTTTTATTTTTTTTTTACCTTGATTCAGCAGTGGCAAAAGCCTGATGCCTGGGAGCAGTCAGTCAACAAAGTTCCTTTTCCTCTTTGACTAACCCCAGTTCCTACTGTTTCACAGATTTATTTTTTTTTCTGAGAGTAAAAACAATCCACAAAACTCACATGAGAGTTTCAAACCCCAGCACACACGGGACTTCTCTGCAAACTATTCTGTCCATATAAGGTAGTGTACCCCCTTTTCTAGCTAAGACACCCAACTTTCCATTGTATCCAACCACATTGTTTGTCTTGGGGAGTTTTTAAAATAACCTACAAACACACACTGGCAGATTTTCTCTTGAATTTTCTCAACCAGCTGAGGGTTGTCAGGACAGAGCCTCCATGTGGATGCCAAATGCAGCTGGTCCAACGGTCTCCTAACCAGTTACCTCAGTGTGCAGAGCTCTCACTCTGGACAAAGTGGGACAGAACTGCCAGTCTTGGGGACCAGCAACTCACCTCGGGGCTCTGCTTGCCCCCTTGAGTACTGTAGGATCCTGGGCAATAACCAGAATCCCTAGACTCCAGCTGCACAAATGAGTAGCCTCGATAAAGCGTGGTGGAAATCCTGGTGGGATTTCCCTGATGGGAAAAGGCAAGAAATAAACAGGATGGAAACAACCATGGTTAGTCACCTGCAGTTGCTGCAGTTGCCTAAAATCCCTGTGGCATGTGGAAGTCCATTTCCATGGATTTTATTCAGTGGGCAGGAGGGCCCCAATGGCTTCCCACTCAGAGGCTGCCACTTAACACCTGGGAGTTCACACAGGGCTTCCACGTGCCTGATGAGGGAAATGACCTACCCATGGGGCAACAATCCTGCACACAGCCCAAACACAGGCCATGCTGGTGCAGTTCAAGGCTGAACTTCTGAACCCTCATCGGACTTTTTCAATATGGCTTTTGTTTGGATTAAGAGCAGAAGGCAGAGGGCTACAAACTGCAGGAAGCTCTCGATCAAAGTGCTGGCAAGACTGCCTCCTCCCTGCCACATCCCTTCCCATGACACCTCTTGGCTTTGCTCACCTGCAGCCGCTCTGGCTCTTTGCTTTTGAATTCACATGCTATGAACAGCATAGTTTCCATGCAGATGAGAGAAACCACATGCTGCTGGAGTGAAATGCTGATAGCAGTGAAACCGGATTCTGCTCCCAGGGATGAGGTATCCACAGAGCCTGAGAACTTCGTAATTCATGAGGAGTTCATAGGGAACCTGACTCTTTCCTAACACACAGCAATTCCTTCAGTTCAGGTGATGGAGGAGGGATTGACTTGGATATTATCTGTGCCAAGTTCTGTTCTTCCAGTAGGAAGCTGAAAATGGAGTGGCAGCTGAGCACTCAAAATCAAGTACTCCATAATCTACAGCACCTCTTGCTGACAGAGCTCAGACACGGGGAATGTATGACATCCGTTAGCCCTTCTGGAAAGGGAACAACTTTACAGTGTTGTGCTTTAACCAGTATTTTGGACTTGCCAGAAGAAAATGAGTGCTATATTCACATTAAGAGAGCATCTAGATGCTGGCTTGAAGTCCGTGACTGTTCTGATAGGGTGTTAGTCCACCTTCATGCTGGAAAGAAGACTGCTGAACTATTCAGGTTTCCATTCCTGAAAGTAAGGACAGAAATTTTACCTGCAGCTGTGCTTGACCATTTCCCAGATGGTTCTGGTGTGTGGTGGCCTGCATAGACATGACTCAAGAACAGGAGAACAGTTTGTCACTCTGTAGTGTGCTGGTGAAATTCCTGAGAACATCCTCAGCTTCATGAGCTAGTGAAAATATTTTGTTGCTTCAGCACTTAACTGGAACATGCCAGGCTGGGCACAAACGGATACAGAAATAACAGCAGGAAGTTATGAAAGGGAGAATTCAGGCTGAGGATGAGGGAACAATCCTTGGCTGCAAGACAAATTGGCTTGTGGAGTCATTCCTTGGAAACACTGAAAACCCCAGACTGGGCCAAACATGAGAAAATGAACTGCAGGGAGTAATTCTTCATTGATGGGGATAAACTTCATTGGTTTTCCATGTCCAAGTTCTGCAGACAAATGATATGGAAGAGAGGGGGAGGACAGTAGACTCAAGAGTTTATGGATGATGTGGGTACTCCCATGGCTATATTTCTTCAAAAGCAACCAGAGCTAGTAAAGCAGTTAACTGGTAACGTTCATGAGCTATCACTGTCAAAACCAAATCAGGCGGAAAGAGAAAAGGCAAAGAACTGAAGTCCAAGAAATGAAAAATATCATGGCTAGTCTCACCTGGATGCTGTCCCACCTGCAGGGGATAGAAGAGAGAGCTGTGGAGCACTCCCCAGTTGAATTCGGACCATAGGGTGTTCCCATACATCTCCTACCACCCCCAGGACCACACAGCTTGGCTCAAACTGGCATTTCACTTTCATGTTACACCATTTTCTGCAGTTCCCAATCTTGTCCTCTACGTTACATTACATCCTGGATGGGTAAGCCCATGTGCTAGACAGCTGGATGATCAAGAATAAGGCAGGATCTGCAGGTCACTACTTCCCAAAGCATTCTGCTCTTCCTCTTGCATTCCAGAGGTAGAAACAGGATCAGGAGAGGGTGGGTAAGGAAAGGCCAGCTGCCAAGTGACCCAGTGCAACGCAAGGAAATTCTTACCTCTGCAGATAAATTTGGGACATGTAGGAGGGAATGTCCAAAATGTGTACAATGGAGACAATAAAACCACTTCAGAAAACAGAGCAGAGATTCTGCTGTTTGGAAAACATCCTTGAAAAAGCACCAGAAGAGCACCTTATGGAGGGGCAGAGCAGGCAGAGGGGTTCTGGATGACAAATCCACACTTCAGATCACCAGGTCAATGGCAGGGCAGCACCCCTGACCCTCATTAAGACAGTTTGCTGATAGTTCCATACAGTGGCATGTTACATTTTAATCTTAGCTAGGTGTTAGCCAGTGCATGCCAGACACTTTGGATTTGAAGCAGGCTCACTTTAAACAGGGTGACCATGACAGGGCCCAACATTCTGGCCAAGAGAGCCACAACTGCAGCCAAGGAAAAGCTGAAGAGCAGTTTTTCTGGTGCTCCCAGAAGTATATTTTAACACAACTCCTCAGCCCTTCTTTATATGCTTCCTTAGCACCTCTGCCCAGGATCCATAGGGTTCCTCCCATGCAGCTGGCCTGTGCACTGTCTCAGGGGCAAAGAGCAAAGACAAAGCAGTTTTTCATCAGGCTGGTTCATCCCTCTTTTGGCAGCAGATGAAGCTGCTCTCAAAAATACTGACACAACCTTGAAAGAAGCCTGGCCAAAGGGAGCATCAACCAGAACTCTGCAAGACTGGAGAGAAATGAAAGAGATTGCTTATCCAAATGAAGTAATCTGCCAGACTTCAGCCAGGCAGGAGTTGCTCCTCTGAGTCTACATGCAGTAAGTGAACACTGAGGTCTGTATTATGGTAGAGATGCTGGGCTCTGACTCCTGCTTCAAGTTACACTCCCCAGAATGAATCTCCCTCAATCTCAGGTGGTGTGAGTGGAATTACTCCCTAAGGTTATCTTAGGCTTTCATCTTGGTCCTGTCAGTCTACCAGCTGATGGTGTAGTCTAATGTCAAGAGCTTTACCATCAGCAAAACATTCTTCAGCTCAGTGTAAGATTTTCTGTCCACAGATGGTAGGAATTCTCATAGAAGTATGTGGGGTAACATCTGGAGTAGACAGTGACTTCTCAGAAGTCCCTACTTTAAAAAAGTGAATAATTTCTCAGTTCAGAGCAAAGTTAGACAACAGATTGCTTACAGGGGGGCAATTAAAGGAATTTCAGGGCGGAAGGGGTGAGCACTCAAAAGTACAGATAAAACCGAGAGAAATGCTGTCCTTCAGCAGGGCAAAGCTTACTGTCACAGTCTTGAGACATACTATCTATCTTCACAGTGCTCTGTCTACTCTTTTCTCCTCGCACCTTCCTAGTTTAGAACAGTATAGCAGGAACTGTCTTCTGTATGCAAAGCTGTCTTCCATGTGCAATGCAAGCTCCTGATGTTAGATGACAAGATCCTGATAAGAGAGCAAGTGCAGATGAACAAGGGGGAGACACACCAGGAATGGAGCCCATGTGACTGAGAATGAACTAAATTCACAGTATACCGCATACTACTAGTCCCCCGTGAGAATTATCCCTCTCAGATTGCAGCCCTGATACAGGTTTGTCTCCATCTCTGTTTGCTGGCTTGTTGCTGCATGACTACTTTCTTTTGGCCAAGGAGGACCAGACTCCTGCAGAGCCAAGAAAGTGACACCTCTTTCACCTTTGCACATCAATGGGCGTGTTGTTGTGCCAGGATCCTCGATTCCTTCACAGATCAGGTTAAAGGCTTCTCCAGGCAGCTGGTGACAATTCGATAGCTCCAGCATCTACAACATGGGCACTTCAGTCTGCTCCTGAAGAGTGGCTGGTGAGGGTTATTTTGGATGGAATGGTGTGCAGAAGAGCATATTTCAACACCACACTCACAGTAGACCCAGTGGTGAAGCAAAGAAAAAGCCATCACGGCAGGCAGAACCGGAAAGCACAGAGGCCGGTTAAACTGATGTTAAGGAATGTACATTACCTGTGTTTCTGTCTTGAAAAAGCTTTAACGGGGGGCCCAAGCATATTATGAGGCACCTCCGTTTCTCGCCATTGGCATTCTCAGGGCTACAGCAGCAGTGCAAAAAGGTATTATCTCTCATCTAAGCAGAGAGGTAAAGGTGACTAGAGCAGCCAATATGGCTATCTCAAGAACAGAAGCTCAAGGGTTTGGAAAATACATCAGTGAACTGTGCAATGTACTGCCTGTTATAATAGGTTCTCTGTAGATCTTGTTGATCTTTTCTTGAACTGGCACTTAAAAACCGAGCAGACACAAATGCAGTGAAGAAACAGGCTAATTTAGGCGTGCAGCCCTGATATTATACGAGGCAAGATTAGAGGATGACCTGGTCATGTTCTCATGGCATTGAACAAGGCAGCTTGTTCCTCTCAAAAGTCCTGGCCTGATTCTGCCCCTGTCCTCCCCTGCCAGCTTACTTGCATATGGCAGCACCACAAGTTGAGTGCTTCCCTACTACAGACTTACAAACAGCTTTAGAAACAAGTACAGCAGCAAAGACAAGGTAAGCTTGGACGAGTCATTTTTGTGGGAAACTTTTGGTAAGAGCTCTGGCTTCATTCCCAAAACAAGTACTGGTTGAATGTCTTCAGCATGTGGGTATCCTTCAGTACTCCCTTCAGGCTAGAGGAAGAAAGCAGTCATATCTCCTGCCTTATGTGGTGCCAACTATTGTTCCAGAGAGCAATGCGAGAAGTGCAGGTGCAGGTACACACAGTCAAAACTCTCAGAGAACCACAATGGCCAAGATTTCACAAGGCTCCAGGACGCAGAGCTTCTCCCTTCTAGCAGGAAGACAGTATTCTGAGGCACCAGGAGAGCACACCCGAAGTATCCCTGCACTCTATCCTGGCTCTGGGACTCATTTGTTTAGTTCTAGCCCCACCACCAAAACTTTCAATCCGATTTCTTTATCTCTTTTTCTCGTCTCCACCCAGACCCCAAAGCCTGCCTATTTCAATGCTGTTCCATCTCATCAGCAACAGCTCTGCTCTCTTTCTGAACTCTGCTTCCACCCTGCTTGCTACGTTCCTTTGCTGGGAAGAGAAAAACAAGGGTGGTGTAGGGAGGGACTAGCAATGCAATAGGGAGGGCTTGGATACTAATCTACACTTTAAATCTCTTAATTTTAGAGGTGTAGCACACCTACTTGCATGTAGAACATATCCAGAGGTAGCTGTTCTTTGTTCTCACTAAAAGTCTATGGAACAATTTATAAGAGTCAGGCCATTACATCTGGAGCACTGGTGTAATTCCAGCAAGATACAGGATTTACCATTTCCTGTCTCAACCTGCTGTACATGGTTGCTATGTGAATGCTAACTAGGTAATGTGCTCCACCCCAAAGCTGCTACATAGACACAGCTACTAAAGAATCCCAAACACTTGGTAAGACATAGGAAAGAAAAAGTTTTCAGGGTTGAAATATCTCATGGCTACAGGGCTGCATCAAATGTAGAGCCCTTGAATTTGATCCTCACTGATACCCAGTACATAGACTGCCAGCATCCAAGGGACATTTCCAAAAACTCGCTTCAAATCTCCAGCCATCCCCAGCCCTGCAGCCTAAACTCTCCCAGCAACAGCCCCATGGCCTCTGGTAACCCCATGGCTTGCTAATGCGAGGTTCATAAACCGCTCTGACATCCCCATGGAAACAGAGTGTGAGGTCATAAACAGGGGATTAGCACCTCTGAGTGCCCAGCACAGCACAGAAGGCAGCCGCAGGCTTTCCCTTCGCCCACCAAAGGCCAGGGGCCATTCAGGCCGGGGAGGGGGAAGAGACCCTGTTGCATAGGAAGGACAGGCAGAGGGGGAATCACTGGCTGGGGGCAATGGGGACGGAGCAGAGGGGAACAGGCTTGTGATGGGCCCCTGCTAGCTGCTCAGCCTCCCACTAACTCCTGGTACCCCTCCTGGGCATCCTCCTGCTGCTGGGGCCAAGCACCAAAAGGCTCAGAGAGAAGGGGATGCTCAGCCTGGAGAAAGAAGGCTCATGGGTGACTTACCAATGTTAATAAATACCTGAAGAGAGGGTGTAAAGACAGAGCCAGGCTCTTCTCAGTGGTGCCTGGTGTCAAGACAAGAGGCAATGGACACAAAACACAAGAAATTCTGTCTGAATGTAAGAAAACACTGTCTCAGCATGAGGGCTGTTCTCTGGAACATGCTGCCCAGAGAAACTGTGGAAGGTCCATCCCTGGAGACACTCAAAACTGGACATAGTCCTGGGTAACCTGCCCAAGCAGGGTGTTTGCACTAAATGATTTCCAGAGGCCCCTTCCAACCTCAACTACTCTGTGATGCTGTAACTCCATCTCTGTGGCAGCCTCCTGTGACAACCCCACTGAGCATTAGTGATGAGATGAGTGCAGCTGAGGAAGGGAGGGCAGACTAACAGGTGTGGCAGTTTTAATCCTGTGTGGATAAATGGTTTGAATGAGATGTGGTTTCTCCTTAAAAGACAAGAGAATACTGTGACAGACCTTCCTTCTCTGAAATGCTAAGAATACTCTGAGCTCTGTTGCCTGAGGCACGTTGTACCCAGTTATAAGGAACTGCATTTCCTTGCCCAATCTATTCCTGAAAAAAAAGAGATGTGGAAAGACAAGACTATTCACCTGTTGAGCTTGGGTTTCTTAGGAATATGCCCTTCAGGCAGTGGAGGCCTGTGGTTTGGCAACAAACCTGAAACAGAAAAAGAAATGCGTGAGAATATTTTGCAAGTCTTCCTTGCCTTTATAGCATCCGGAAGTTACATTGCACCTCGCAGGTCAGGCAGCCCAGGTCCCCACTGAGACAGCAGAGCAAAAGCACAAGAACAGTAGAAAGGGTATTTTACCTTCAGTCATTGCTGAACCTGCACCCCAGCCAAAGAGAAGCTAGGAGGTTCTGCTGGGTATAGAGAGGAAATACAATAAAGTCACAGCCACTTGGGTTCATTAAAGAGGCTTTTTGAGAGGACATTGAGCACTAGCATCCCATCAGATTTCATCTCCAGGATGAAAATCTGCCCATTAAAATTCTCACCCATTTAACTTGGATACAACTCAGGTACCAGGCATAAAGATCAGCACAATACTCTGCATCAACCTGGGTCCCACTGCCAGGGTAAAGCAAAAAAGTCTTCACATGGCAGATGGTAGACAGGTGCATGTTATTAACAGGGTAGGTTAAGCTTACACTAAATCAAGTAATTTCAGAAGCTGGTATTTAATCTTTAATTATTAGAGATTGAGCCACTTTCACAGATCTTTCTGCAATGGTAGACTCATCTACAGAGATAAATGTCTGCTGCCAAGGCAGGAGCCAAGACACATATCAAACAGAACAAATGGTCTCTGGTCCATCATCCTGTCCCAGCACTTGGACAATAAATCAGTTTGCTAGGTGACTGGACAATGACATCTCACTGAGCTATACTAATTAGGTGTGAGACCCTTCTCAAGGGGTTCTATGGGTACCCCACAGTAAGAGGTTGTCTCAGGAGGTGGCTAGGTACCTGCACGGTGAGCCATCTGCACACAGACGGCAATCTTCCTGTGCTCTTCCACACAGAGGCCTGTGATCCTTCGTGGCAGCATCCCTCCATCAGAACGGATAAACTGACTCAGCAGCAAGACATCCTGAGGGAGCAAAAGAGCAAAACCACCAGTGCTACAGCTACTTTAACTGCTGTGATTCTTAGGTGTTGCACTGACCCTTGCGCTGTGTACAGAACTCAAAGCAAAACAAAACAATGATTCCTTCCTATGCATTTTGGCTGCAGTCTGACAAGTGGCTTTTGCTTGCTGTCACTCCGCTTGCCAGCTTAGCTCACTAAGGTCACTCAGATGGTCTGAGTCTTCCCCTGACTTCACTAGTGTAAACACATGATGTCAGCTGCAATTCCTGCTACTTCACTGTCGCTTGCTCCAAGATTCTAGCTCAGATAATGTGTCCTAGGTACTCAGGCACAGTTACACAAGACCTACAGATGGATAGTGTTTACACAACTGGAAATGCTATCACAGCTGCTATCCTAAAGGTCAAAGATATGTTAGATCACCTCTGGTCCCCTCCTTGTTCCCTCAGAGCAGGATTGTTCTCTGCTATCTACTGCTCAAACTTTTACCCAGTTTCCCATGGTGGAACTTCCCTCATGTCTCTCTGGAGGGGGGAAGAGCAGGGAAATGGTCCAAGATCTTGCACGAAGAAGCTTTTTGTAAGAAAATAATGTGTGCTGATGAGAAAGACATAATAGGATGAATTGCTGCCTTCAGTCCTAGGACTGTGCATGCATTAGGTGGGGCTGTTACAGTCGCACTGGATGCAAGGAGCACTCGAAGCATGCTGAGGGTTCGTTTGTGATTCAAGAATAATTTAGATTATACTGATGTTGACCTTTCCAATTAAGAGCTCTAGAAATGTAAAGCACTCTTAATAAAAACAAAATTAAAGGGATCTCTAGGATCAGATAGTATCACAGGGCTAGGATGACAAACTTTTAAACACAGCAGGAACAGCTGTTGCACGAGTGTCCTATTAACTGTACATAGTGCAACAGCCCTGTATTTAGATACGTGCTCTCCATTTCCACACGCAGCACCAGTGCAATGGTACCCCTCAGGCCAATACAGGCAGGTCCCCTTGACATGCTGACGTCAGCATAAGTTGGCCCAAAGGGCCTCTGGAGATAATGTGCTTGTTTTTTTCCCCCCATATGTTGACAGATGTTGCTGGTTGATAGTTTATTTCTCCACTGCTGTTGTAAACATGTTCATAGTTGAGGTAGCTGGACCATGGAGAGGCTGCCTGCAGGCTGGATGGGACCTGCCAGCAAGCACCCTGACAGAACAAGAATTCAAACCAGGTACGTCAGCACTTTACACCCCCTGCTGTCTAGGGCAACAGGCAAGAACAAAGAGTACGTGTTGCTTTTCACGTTGGGTGACCCTGACTCTGCCTGTTGCTCACAGATTTGCAGACCTGCTCTCACCCCATTATGTTTGGTCTTTTACAAACAGCTCCCTGGAGCATTCATTTACTGCCCTTGCAAAGGCAATCACACGTGGATATAAAATGAGTATTCATTTTATCCAGATATCTAAGAAATAGACATCCATCTCCATTGGACAAGACCAGCTCGGCTCTGAGGGGGTGCCTGCTGGAATTCAGTACACCTTTCTGGTAATGACATGATTCTGACAGATGCTGTCATGCAAGTGTTGTAGTCAAAATTTAGAGTTTTTTTTGTTTGGTTTGGGTTTTTCTGGTTTGTTTTTGTCCTTCCCCCTCCCCGACTTCAATCCCACTCTCACTAATATCATCGTGACACACAATTTTCCTCTTCCCTTATCTGGCTTCCTTTCTACCTCCTTTTGTCTACCATGAGTGTGATCAGACTGATTTTCAGATCCAGTTCCTTTAAAAACATGGCAGGTTAGACAACTTCTCACTGATACAAAGTGACTTAACAACCACCACAGAGAGTGATGTTGTATCCAAAGAACAAGAAAGGCACAGCTGAGCAACTAGCAGCAAGCTCCTGAGAGGCCATCTATGGTTAAAATGGAAGCAGTGTGTCCTCAGCCCAGCTAACACATGGCCTTGCCAATGAGAACAGTAACCAGGGGACCGTTTGGTGGAAACTGGAGAGAGGCCAGCCAAACACTCCAAGGGCGCTTTCAGCCACTCCTGAAATGCAAATGAATGGGATTCAGGAAACCAGAGCAAGACTTCGTTGCCTTTTTTCCTCTTCTTTAGCCATCCAGTTCTCCAAATCACCAACAGCTAAATTTGCCATTTAGCACAAACATATCACTTCCCTAAGTGAAAAAGGGTTGTTCAGCTCCAAGTGCCTAGAGAGAAGAAAACTTTCTAGAATTCTCTACTAGTCTGCTGCATTACTCTGTGGGGAAGAGGAAAAAGGGATCTGATGGCAAGTTTGAGGCTGTTCCAGTCTTTGCAGTCATGAAAGCCTAAGTAGGCCACAGGCTCCTGTGAAGGGTGTGTGTGGTCCAAGTGATTTCTCGTATTACCACCACGCCTCATGGAGTCACAGGGTTGTTATCAAGTGTTTCCATGCAAAGGGGGGAGGTGGGAAGCAAAGGGAGATAGGCTCTCTTTTTCTCCCTGTGGAAAAAAAACAGGAAAATCCATTCTCTGTTATCATCTCTGTCTAACAGTGTCACCAGCTAACCAACACCCTTATGTGGCAGTCATTTCTTCACTGAAATCATCTATGCCCCAGCTGCGGCTCCAAACTGCACTCACGCCATTTGGCTTAAAATGCTGCACACTTGACAGAGGGTTTGTCCATTTCTGAAGATCTACACAGTTAACAGGTCAGGTGCCTCTCCCAGAGCACTCGCACAGATGCATCTTACCACAGGGAGAAAGCAGACAGGTACAGCCAACTTTATGGGGCAGCTGTGGAGGGAAGCGAACAAGTATGTGGAGCGGTCAAAGAAAAAAATATGTCTGGCAAGTTCTCACGGTGCTGTCATGTTCCATGAAATTCATATTTTGTGCTAGTGGACAGCCAAGCCTGTAACCACAGATTTGCGTTAATCACTGGACAGCTCCCACGAGGCTGGACCTAGATTCCCACCCCTGTAATCTGCAGCATTTGATGAAAACAACTTGGATTGAATTAATCTAGGGCTAATAGGCAAAGTTTGCAGTTTGGTTTCCCCTAATTGCTGCCAAAGCAAGATGACATATTTACTGCCTACTCAGACTAATGATGTTTGAAGTGGATAAGGGGGAAAATGAAAAACAAGTTTAGCCTTCACCTCTAAAAGGGCTGGACAAACTTGCTAAACGAAACACTATGTACAGCACATTCTTGTGAATGGATGGCAACCAAAGTGCAGAGACTTCTCTGCATTTTAATATTTGCAGACACTTTGAAAAGCAGGATCCTTGACTGCTTACATGCGATTCATTAAGACATTCATTTACCACAAGAAAAGTTCTGTCTGTGTAGCCAAATAACTACTGGGCTGTATCAGACAAGTCTGCCAGTCATTATTTCTAATTATACAAGAGTCTGGTTTTTCCTTCCTCCCTTACTCCTGAGAGCTGTATACTATTCTCCAGGCATATCATAACAGGATTATACGTTTCAATCCAGCTGCATCCTGACAATGACCAAAATAATTTTTGCATCCATTGGATGCGAAAAAAACTCAACTGAGGTCTCAGTTTCAATGGACAGACACACGCAGATCACAGACTGTGGGAATTTATACCTTTGGCTCTGTTATCCTGAGCCTTAGCTGAGACTAAGGACTGAACTGGCAAAGACAACTGCAGCCCTCCACAACACAGCTGAGGCAGGTTGGAATCATGACCTGCTAGTGCTCACAATGCCTGTTCAGTTGATTAATAACTTTGGAGACATTGGTCCCCCAGTTCCCTGACAGCCAAAGTAACTCATTATGCCGCTACTTTAGACTGTGCTAGTTGCACATGACAAAAGGAAAGTCCTATGAGGTCATATTACTCAGCTCCCTCAGGGGCTAATTCAACACTTCCCTTTTCACAGTGCCTCATTCAGACCAATTACAAGCGTCCCAAGCAAAAAAGCTCACACTTTCCCTTCTGTGCAACTGACTGATCTCAGCTTATCAATCTCAAAGGAACCACTGTGATCCATCTATTCTGATCTCTTTCCAAGCACAGATTATAGGTTATGCTGTATGAACTAGGCTATATCTTTAACAAAAATAGCTGTTCTCAATTTACAGACTTTTAGGACAATTAACCACCAGTGAGTAAATTGTGCCACTGTTTAATTACCCACACAATTAAATGCCTGCACTTTATGATGTAAGCATTTCCAGATTCTGTTGCTCATCACTGCTGCAGAAAAAAAGAAAAAAAAGCAGAGTGTGCTTTTGTTCAGAAAATGGAGATTTTATTCATCTTAACATTTAAAAGCCTGAAAATCCATGACTGCTACAAAGTATTCAAACATATAAGGGACTTATTCAAGCAGAAGAGGTGGTCTACTCCAGAACTGAAATTTCTTCTAGTTCTCAACAGCCCAACAGAAGAATGCATTTAAATACTGAGGTAAGAAACTTCTGCAATTCTGAAATACCAGCTCATACTGCCCTCTTTACTTTTTGGTCCAGGTTCTCCTCTGCTCTACAGTAGGAGTACTGGATATATATACACCAGATGCATATGCATTCAAAAACTATATGACAGTCAGGATGGACATGTTCCTAGTTTGTCTCTCAGGACCACAATTTCTTAGGAACAATCTCAGCAATGATACTTAAGTCTCTTGCTGTAGGATCTCTCCTCACATTTGGTTTTCTCTTGCCTCCATACTGAGCAGTAGAAATCAGGATCTAAGAATCAAACTTAAGTGTGGAAGAAAACTCATAACCTTAGTTCACTCTGCAAACACACCTAAGATTCATGCTTTACATTGTCTGTTGGGACCAACAGCCTACTTCTAATCCAGGCTCTACAGCATCACACTGTCCAAAATGGCTTCTTTGGTTCTCAATGGCCCTGTTATTTGTATGTGCAACAGAGTCTTCTACCACAGAGAGCAGTAGAGAGTGAGTCTATATATTATTTTCCAAGATTTAATCTGCTCCCATGGCTCATTTCATCCCTGAGCAGTGGTTTATAGTTTCTCTGAAGTTGTTAATCCGTAACTTGTGGCATGCTTTCTGGAAATCTGTAGAACTACCCAATTTAATGATGCTGTTGACTCCTCACATTTAAACATCACATAAAATTATATTAACCATAAGAAAGTATTTTTCAGTATAATTAGTCTGTTTTGATCACAATTTAGCAACCATGAAGAAAAGAGTTGCAAGAAATCACTGCATTCAAATATGGGCCACACAAAACAGATGTGATCTGGTTTTGTAGTACTTACCATACCTTAATGGTGTTTGCCATTTCTCCTGATTATCATCTGCAAATTCACTGTATTTTTAGCTTTCCCAGATTGTTGAGAAACCAGAACAGAGAACACTAAATACACCTCTGCCTCCAGTTTATTTCACTGTTTTAATATTGCATTCAGCCCGAGTCAGAATCATTGACAACACTCAGATCCTAAACAACTTAATTTCTGCAAGACAGGCTTTGGAAAAATATTTAAACTGATATTTTATTTACATCTCACATCTGTTGTTTCACCTGCCTGCAGTAGTTGCAAGTGTTTTGTCTGGCACTATAGCTGTACTCATGTCTTCAGAATTCCTGAATTGTAATAGTCATATCCAACAGGTTATTTGTTTTTACTCCTACTTGATGATATATTACTTGGAATTTGCAAAGTTTGAATTAGTAAGTAATCAAAAGCGTCATTCTCCTTCCTCTCTCAACTACTTAGCATTTCACTTGCTCTTTTCAAATCATTTGGTGGTTCCTTAGGTTTTTTGTAATGCTTCACTGCAAGTGAAGAAATATATTTGTTAGCTAATTCCCTTAAGGTCTTGGGGCTACATGCAATCCAGGCCTACTGGATAATTCAATGCTTAAGTTATTTCCGTACCTGTTTTTTTCCTGTTGTTTTATATTTGCAAGACTACCATTACTACCTAGATATTAAAACATAATTTTTCTTTTGTGTGTATGCGCTAAGACTTCATGCAAGCAGCTTAGTCATTCTGCAGGCAAGATGGCTTTCAGTCCTCTTTTCCTCTCATTAATAGACCTTTGTTCTCACAAAGATTTATTTTCCTCCAGATGCATTTGTATCTCTCACCCTAATCCTATTGACATTAACTTATTCTGAGTTTTCTGTTGGCTTATCTTAGTAACAGCATGTTCCTGTCTGGTGGTCGTCTTTAATTCCACATACTGGGTTTTTTAGCTTACAAGGGGGACACTTAGTCCTTCTGTAAACTGTTTTTGAATGACCTATTGTAAATTTACATTCTGCATCTTCTATCTCACGCTTCTTAAAGTGTTCTTGACCATTGTACTTTTGTTTTAAAGCATTACAGGATTTCCCTCTCACCTTCTACATTTAGTGTTAGTAATCCTCTCATTAGTTAATAAACTTCTCATTAGCATTTCCTGCAAAAAGCTTGAATCAAACCTATTTATTCCATTGCAAGGAATGTAAACATGTATGCTCTCCTTCATATTCACTAAGTTTTAAAAGTTACATAAAACAGTTATTACCTAGGTGGACCCAATAAGAAACTGTAGTGCTTGAAGATATATAATTGATCTAGTCAAGTTTTTTGGTCTCTCTGGAGTTAGAACGGGCCTGAATCAGTTGACTAAATGTTGCACTCCAGTTTGATTCTCCTGGAAGTGCAATTCTGAAAAGCAGCTGGGCATAGAAGAGATATATATAGCCTTCTTGGATCAGATGGCCATGTGTAAATCCAAACCTCCTATTTGATATGAGCACATCCTTCTTTTTCCCAGGAACACCATCACCCAAGGCAAACAATTACTATGTAGGAAGCTCTTGTGACACTCCAGAGAAGCAGAGATGGAGATAACTATCTTTGCTACACCCAGATGAGAGAGGCAGGTTGTACAGTATGTAGATCTGAAAGCAATATTTATCTAGCTATGAGGATGGGGGAACTCTCCTTCATTAAACTTACCACATAATCATACTTATGCTTCAGGTTCCAGCGACAGATGGGACACTGGCCAGAGGGGTTTGGAGGAGTTGGTGCTTCAGCATCCTCTATAATTCTCCCTTCAATCTAGGGAACAATTCAAATGATATAATGATCAGGCATGGTTTAGACCTCTACCTGCACCTGTGACTTGGGGAATACTTTTCATCAAGTCCACAACATGCTGATCAGTATTGTGTGAATGTAAGGGGAACAGTATCGGAATTATTCAACTCGCTTACATATAGATAGAGCAAGCACTTTGGATATACAGACTATAGGGAGAAGAACAAAACCAAGGAGCATAGAGAACCATTTGGTAAATTCTTATATAAATTTTACTAAACGTAAACTAGTTCACAGTCAGTGTGAAGTTCTCATATCCAGTTTAATATCCTGAACAATTCCTTTACAACATAATTTCATAATCTCTTCTATCTCACTACAAAATGGTGACATCTAACACTCAAGTTTTCTCAAGAGTAACATGCAAAGATATGTAGAAGGTGTCTGTGGGAAGGGCTTGAGAAATTTGTTTTCTATATGTAGATATGTTAGGAATATGAAGTGCGCTTGTCTTTTTTTTAGGTCATGAATAGAAGCAAGAGCTATCTCAAATTGCAGCTGGACAGAAAAGACAATAAAACTAGCCTCTTTTTTTTTTTTTACAAAATACTTTGGAAGTTTCCTCTGGCCAAATTAAGATTAAAACCAGATTTTGAACACCAACTGACAGCCTCAAATAGTGCTAGCACCATAGAGTTTAAAAAGAAAGTCTGTGTGGAATGCAATGTTACTCTTAAGAAAAAAGCTGACTGTTTTAGACCGAACTGTCAGGTTCTGTACCTGAAAACCTGGGAAGAAAAAAGCATGTCATTTTCTGTAAGTATGCATGGGAAACTGGCATCCAGCTGAACTGTCAGAACTATTTTATGCCATTAATTTGCATCTTATCTACTGATGACAAAATGGAAACAGATACATTATTTGTAGTTCAAGCATCTAGGTACCTCAAAGAGAGAGAATATTGTCAATTTTTAAGTAAGATTCCTCCCCCCACAAGTAGAACAGACAGTTTTACAAAAACAAAAAAGTAACTATGAATACAAAATATAGGCCAGCATCTCATTTTCTATTCATCAGTAAAGTTGTCTTCTGGGGAGCTGGTCTTCATTCTTGCTATTCTGGCTTCAGTCCGTTCTTTAACTGTAATTCCATCTTGGAAATGAGTTAAGATTCAGAATGCTATGTCAGAATATTTTTTTTCTTAAGATAAATTTCAGTGTACAGTTTTTGGCCATTATTCCTCAACTACTTTCATATTGTTAACCAACTCTATTATTCTTCTGTTAGAGAATTAAGAGGGAATATAGGGGCTCTACAATCTCATTATGCTGATGAAATCCAGATTTCTCTGGGATTCATTCATCTTGTTCAAGTCAAACATTTCCTTCAATACTGATAAAAGCAATGACACATAGAAAGATGGATTCAGAAAAGACTGACATAGAGTTGGTAGGATAAATGGAGTGACCAGAGGATATGCTGAGAAATGTATCAGCCCTTTGGTTGGTCAATTTACACCATTTGTTACAAGATCTTCCTCATCTAGGGGCACTGACAGATACTAAACTGATGCTAGGATCAATCATCAGTAGAACTATCCAAATATCCCTTATGCTTCTACAAAGGGCCAGGAAGAATTATTTTTCTAAAGGGCTTTGCTACTACAGTATATAATTTTTTTACTTCAAGCTTCAGTTAATGTATTGGAACTTTGTGATAATAATTCACATCCCCTCTGAAACTGACTGAGCACAAAGTACAGCAATCCATTGCATGTATTGTGTTGGTGTGCACACTCCTGACTTGGTTAAAACAGCTTCAAGGCATGCTTGCAAGCTCTTCAGATCTCTGGGAAAAGATTAGTAGTCTGGCACTTGTAAGAGAAAAAAAAAGAGACTTTCCATCACATCTACTGTCACATCTTAAATTTATTTTTGTTGACAGGCTTAGAGATCTTGCTAACTGCCATACTCTATTTGATATTATATAGCTAACATAAGTAACCTGCTCCATTCAGGTTTTAAACAAGGCTTTCAAAGGCATGAACAACCAAGTTTTGTCTGTTTCATTAGCAAGCAAAAAAGTGTGCCCCTTCCTTATTATTTATGCATCTATAGGTTAGCATTTAGTTGCACTCTCTTCTAGCTATTCCCAAATAATTCCTGCTCCTCTCATCATATTTACACATTTCAAAATAACTGTGTTACTTGTCTCCAGCTAAGACATAGATTAATTACTACTGGCCTACATAATGTGACCAGAATAATGCAATATCCTTTCACCTCCCAGTAATGTCAGTGCTGCTTCTAAACAATGACAGTTCTCTTGATGAGGTGCAACAGATCACATGGTGTTAATTAAATAAAATTTTAATTCTACTGCTTTGGTCTTTTTCTTCCTGTCTTAAACCATAGCTAAGAAAAAGCTCTTTTTTATCAGTTACTTCACAGTTTCTGGTTTATTTTGAGGAGTAGTTTTCCTTTAGTATTTAAGGTCTTCCTTTGACAATACCTCTTTCGCTGATAATTTTTTCTTACCAACTGTGTTACCAGGTGTAAGCTTTGTATTACCTGCAGTCACTATGGCACGCACACAGTGATTAACACAACACAGGTCAAAAGCAAGTGATGTGCATTTCACTCTACCAATACAGAGCAATCCTGCGATGCCACATAACGTTGTTAGCCCAAGGTGAAGTGACAAAGCCAGTGGGCAAACCTCCTTCATGCCTACCCACACTCGAGATGATGCCAAGTGTCACTACTTTAAGAAACGAAGCCATCTGAAGAACTGCCTCTTGTGTTTTAGGTCCCAAATGCATCTAATCATGGCTTCCAACTTTACCAGCGGTATGGCAAGGTGTTTGGTACTCAGAGGTGGCTGACTGGAGCCACCCGTCACCAGCAACAGGGTCACAATTCGGGAGTCAAACCCTCCATTCCATACCTGCACTCGCAACACACTCCTACCTTGGTTTTGCTTTCACACCCTGAGATGTCTTTCAGAGAGAAATGAGACCCGTCTGCTTTTTTTTTTTTTTTTTTT